AGAAGGTAAGCCCTGCCACATGGAGGTGGACACCGGGTCAACCCTCTCCATCATTGCGTGGTCCACATTGAAGAAAATTCTGCCTTCGCTCTCAAGGAGGAAGCTGATCACCTGCCACCTGAATCTTCGGGACTACCAGGGAAAGACCATCCCAGTCCTGGGTAAGGGAAGATTCCTTATTCAATTCCAAAACTTTAGAGGTTACTTGCCACTGGTAGTTGTTGATGGTGCCCTGCCTAGCTTGCTAGGACTAGATTGGTTCCCTGCCCTAGGTCTTAACATTACAGGGGTTCACTCTGTGATAAACTCTGAAGTTGATGCCCTTTTTAGTGACTACGCTGATGTGTTCAGCAGTGAACTGGGCTGTTATTCGGGCACCCCCATATCTTTCAATGTAGGTCCACAAGCCACCCCAATCCGTTTGAAACCTCGAAGGGTTCCCTTCGCCATTAGGCCCAAATTAGACGTTGAACTAGACAAACTCATTAATCAAGGAGTTTTGGAACAGGTAGATTTTGCAAAGTGGGAAACACCCATAGTCACCCCTTTAAAAAAAGATGGTAGTGTGAGAATTTGCGCGGACTATAAGACGTCCATCAACCATTTCCTTCTAGTTAGCGCATACCCAGTACCTGTTATTCAACACCTGCTTCACTCATTTGAACCAGGCGTCATTTTTGCAAAATTGGACATGTCCCAGGCATACCAACAATTCCCAGTGGACCAGCACACTGCTGACCTTCAAACCATAGTAACACACAGGGGCGCTTTCAGATGTAAACGTTTACAGTTTGGGGTCAGCGTAGCTCCTGGCATTTTTCAATCACTCATGGAAAGAATCCTCCAGGGCCTACCCAGGGTGGTTCCATACTTTGATGACATTTTAGTATCGGCCTCTAACAAGGCACAACTGCTACTCAGAGTAAGGTCTGTTCTTGACAGATTTAGACTAAATGGGCTCAAATTGAAAAAAGACAAATGCACCATAGCTACCAATCAAGTAGACTTCCTTGGTTATCGAATTGATGCCTCTGGGATTCACCCCATTGAAAGTAAAGTCAGAGCCATTCACGAGGCACCCACTCCCTCTAACAAAACTGAATTACAGGCCTTTTTAGGGCTCTTAAATTTTTATGCATCCTTCCTACCCCACAAAGCCTCTGTAGCTGAGCCCCTACATAGGCTCCTAGACAAGAAGGTCTCCTGGCATTGGGGACAGAAAGAAGCCAACGCTTTCCAGGCAGTGAAGTCTCTGTTAACTTCAAACGCAGTGTTAGTTCAATTTAACAAGGACTTGCCCCTAGTACTCGCCGCTGATGCCTCACCTTTTGGGATAGGAGCAGTTTTAAGCCACAGACTTTCAAATGGATCTGAGGCACCCATTGCCTATTTTTCAAGGACATTCTCTGCTGCTGAGAGAAATTACAGCCAGATCGATAAGGAGGCTTTGGCAGCTGTAGCTGCTGTAAAAAAGTTCCATGAGTTTCTCTATGGCCATTTTTTTGAACTGATAACAGACCACAAACCTCTCTTAGGACTGTTAGCTGGTGACAAACAAACCCCACAGGTACTTTCCCCAAGAATGACCAGATGGACTCTTTTTTTGGCCGCTTATTCATATACCTTGATCCATCGCCCCAGAATAAATCTGAGCCACGCAGATGCCCTCAGCAGGTGCCCCCTGCCTACACCAGTCGAGGACCCAGCTCCCATCCACGCAATTTTCGAGTGCACGGGACTTGACCTCCCAGTTTCAGCCGGAGATGTTGCTGCGCACTCAAAAAAAAGATCCATTGATTTCCCAGGTCCTGGACTGGGTGGGAAGGGGGTGGCCTGATATGCAATTTGCCCCGGATTTAATCCCCTTTAGGATCCGCAAGCAGGAGTTGTCTGCAATTCAGGGCTGTCTGTTATGGGGGACTAGGGTGGTCATTCCTGCCACCTTGCAAGAACCTGTTCTAAGGGCACTGCGCGAGGGACATCCGGGCATGGTAAGGATGAAGGCCTTGGCCCACAGCTACGTTTGGTGGCCAGGACTAGATGCCCAAATTGCCAGCTGGGTCAGCGCATGCCAGGCCTGCCAGGCGACAAGGGCAGCTCCACCCACAGCTCCACCCACCAGGTGGGAAGATGCGGGGGCACCCTGGGCCAGGCTACATATTGACCTAGCTGGCCCCATGCTGGGGAAGACATTCTTGGTGGTTGTAGACTCATTTTCCAAATGGACGGAAGTGGCCTTGCTGTCTTCCACCACAACTCAAGCCATCACAAGGGTTTTGACCAGACTGTTTGCTACTCATGGACTGCCAGACACCTTGGTGTCAGATAACGGGCCTCAATTCAGCTCTAATGAATTTGCCATCTTCATTGCCAACCTGGGCATCAGACACGCCCTCACAGCCCCCTTCCACCCCGCTAGTAATGGGATGGCGGAGAGGGCTGTTAGATCAGTCAAGGAAGTTTTAGCCAAGCTGGGCCAGGCAGGCTGGCACTCCAAGCTGTCCACTTACCTACTCACGCAACATGCCACGCCATGCCCCGCAACCAACAAGTCACCTGCTGAACTTTTGATGGTCAACCGGCTCAGGACCACCCTGGACAGGTTGCACCCTCACTACACCCCCAGCACACCCCTGGCATCTGACAGCCATGCCAGGGAGTTTGCCCTGCAAGACCTGGTTTATGCCAGGAACTATGCAGGGCACCCGTTATGGCTGCCAGGGCAGATAGTTTCTGTTACAGGGCCCAGGTCCTACAGAGTCCTCCTGGAAGATGGGAGAATCTGGAGAAGGCATATCGACCAACTCAGGAGACGCTGGACCTCGCCTGCTGCCGAAGGCCCTGACAACCAGCCGCCGAGCTACCCGGTCTACTCGCCGCCTGCCGCAGCTGTCCCGCAGAACTACCCGATCTACCAGCCGCCCGACTTCCCAGCCAACCGTCCACCGCGTGAAGACTCACTCGAGCAGCCGCCAGATAGTAGGTCCGGGATGGCCGTCGACCCTCCGCAGACGCCTGGCACCGCCGGAGTAGAAAAGGACTGTCCAGCAGCTGCCAAGCCTCCAGAGCCGCGAAGATCAAGCCACGAGCGAAAGCCGCCATTACGGCTGCAGGACTGCGCATGCTCGCGGCCAGGGGGAAGGAGTGTTATGTATTAAGAACCTGCCAGCAGTTCTCCTTCTGGTCTGCCGTTAGAGCGGGAGCGCCGATCGCTCCCATTGGCTGATGCCGTTTGACAGCCGGCTATAAAAGGGAGCTGTCAAACGGCATCAGCTGACGCTGCCAGCTGGCTGTCAGATTGCCTCTGAAGCCGCGGCGACCCTTTATTCATTGAATAAAGTATGTTAGCCTAGCCTGGCTCCGTCTCTCTCTGTAACCGCCGCTCTACAACAGGGCCACTGCTTCCCTTTGCATAATAATACTTTTCCAAATTTTAAAAACTATTATTAAAAGTCTCTTTAAATCATTGAAATCAGGTTGGGCAGAGAAGCTGATTGGGGGAAAATCTGCAGGGGAATTAGTGTCAAAAGAGGTCCCACTGCCTCTTGTTAGCTCAACTGGGACCCCCTGGAGAAAGAAACTATGGCTTCCTTGTGAATTGCATTTGGGGAAGGAGAGTTCCTTTTTCCAAATATGCCAATTTTTCTTCTTTTTTCAAATGATCAAAACATATGCAGAACTGTTTGCTTGTTTGTTTGTTCCTTAATGTTGTTCTTTTGGGTTATAGGCTTTCTGCTAGCAAGTCACACTTGCATTGTTGTCCATTTCCACATATTCCCAATGAGCGATTTTTTTTAGCTGATTGTAAATCTGTCCTCCCAAAAATGCTAGCTCCTCTCAGCATCTGAGAGCATCTATCAGTATATGTCTAATCCAGAACTGTTGGTGAAAATTTATAATCTTTAAATCTGCTAGACATCTTCACAATTCAAGCTAACCAATAAAGAACTTGATTTGCTCTGTTTCTTTTCTAAGGGTCATGAACATGGTTGTTTTCTTTGCATTTTTTGAGGAACATGTTGGCCCTTTTTATTTATTTTTTTAAGGTTTTTTTCAATAATGAAACATGGGGTAATAGGAAATTAACTCAGCTCACTTATGCATGCTTCCAACTAGTGTTTGAAAAGATCTCACTCTGAGCAACTCTGGGCATGAGCATCAAAATACATTATCTACTGCTTCTCTTTTCCTGGACAAAATTATGGAAATGGGCACTTAAAACTAAACAAGGCAGACAAATGATCGATGAGTGGAAGCCATAGCTCACAGAACATTTTAAAATAAATTGTATTAAAAGTTTTAAAGAGAACTGGCATTTTAAAAGCTGAGAAATATCAGACAAATATTTAAATATCAGAGAAATTTATATCTCAAAAGACTTAAATGCAGTGAAATGTTTGGGAAAATGTTGGGCAGATTTAATAGTTAACAGATGAAAGAAACATACAAAACCTTTGTATGTCATTTAGCATTGCAAATACATTTTTAAGCTTTTATAATATATAGTACAGAACTGACAAAAGCAAAAATTACAAACGTAAGACCCAAAACGTATTCTATTGACCCTTAAAAGGTTTTCTTAGGATGCAGAAGCTTTTCTTTTAACTGTAACTTTATTTTCCAAAACTTCTCCCCCTGCGTTTACACACACACACATACACACAAATCTGTTCAGCAGAAAAAGTTGGAATAGATGCACAATGGCTTTGCACTAACACATCAACATTGTCTATTAATCTGGAAATGCAACTTTTACCTAAAAATCAGAATTATCAGGCATTTGCCTGCTCCTTTTGTGGAGAGGGAGATAATTCAAAAACACAAAGAGGCTTTCTTTCCTTCAACATGTTTCAACAGTTTTCATTAGCAGGGCTCCTTTCCAATTTCATTTAGAGATTGGGTTGTCATATCATACTTTAAAATTTATCCTGTTGCATACAAGGATTTAGGAAGGTTTTTTCTGCTCCCTGGTCCAAACCAGCACAAATTTAGCCACTTACCTGAAAAGAGAGACTGTTGGTTTGATATTTTGGAATAAGAATAACTTGAGGTTCTTCCTTCCAGAAAGAGTAATGTCATCTGAAGAGTTTCTGTTTCTAAACCAGTTGTTAGGAAGAACTACAGCATGTCCTGCTGGCTTCCAATAACCCCAGAAACTGAGGCAACGCTTGCACAACATTTCTGAGAAACATCACATATCGCATTTCAAAGAAAATTGTTTGATTGCTTGTTTGTTTAAATAGTGGAAGGGAAATCACAAAGGGGTGTTTGTTTAAAAGAAACAACTTTTCCTGAATGATTAACTTTTGGATGTTTATGAACTATAATTTGTATTTTATGCAAAATATTACATTATTCTGAAGCCCTGGAGCCCTAATAACGCTGGCGGAGCTCCAGCTAGCCAATCCGGAGCCCTCCTCTCCTTCCCCAGAGAAGTGAAGCTCTTTCCATCGAGCACTATTAACCACACTGGTGGAGCTCTTGAACTGGATCACTTGGAGCCAGCGGAGTGCAAACAACGTACCTTCATTTAAATCCCTCACACAGCTCATTGAAGTATCTTCCACGCCAGACAATGTGTTTCCATTAATATCTTCCACACAGTTTCCCCGGGGCTACATCGGACAGCTGGCAGGGAGAAACAAGGAGGGAGGAGAAAGCCCTGAGGCTCTTGGGAGCCGAAAGTCACCCTGGATGGGTGGTAAAGGCAGAGGAATGCTTCGGTAGTCGCGAGGAGAGGAGAGTCTCCTCGACTGACCCGAAGAAAACCCCTCCATCCGAACTAAAAAGAGACTGCCAGCATGGCTAAATCGAAGCCAGGAAGGCAGCTGAGACGGAAGTGAAAAAGAAAGGAAGGATCTTGTAACAGAGTGCTTAGTCTTGGCAAGAATCACTCCAATTTCTGCAGTGGAATTTTCCTTGGAAAGTGGGACTCAAAGAAGGAAAATAGCTGCGATTAACAATCTGGCTCTGTGGCCCCACGCTTCTGCAGGGTCATTTGCAAAAATGAATCAAGCAAATGTAAATTCATTTATACTATAAATTCACTTGCCAAAAGCAACACCAGCCATAAGAACCTCCGTTCTCGCCCTGACCTAACCATACAGCAACATGCCCGCTCCCGTGTACTCCGCACTGAACTCAAAAAACATCTAGACAATGGAGAGAAGGACCTGTACATTGACTACTGTGCTGACTGTATCAAAAGTAAATCACACAACCCGCAACTCAGTTTTAACCTTCAACCACAACCCTACCTCAACCAATCTACCATCACCCAAGACTAGGCACGCACGCCCCTAACTACCTCAATTCCAACTACTGCTGGTCTTAAATGCAAGCTACTCAATGCAAGAAGCCTTGTGAATAAAATACCTGAATTTCTCCTCTTACTAAATATGGCTAAATTCAACATCATATTTGTTGTGTCCCTGACTAGCTAAGTCTTCAACCTGGTCCGCATTATGAGCGGGACCATCTTACTGTTCCCATTGGTTGGTGCCGTTTGACAGCAGACTATATAAGGAGCTGTCAAACGGCATCAGCTGGGAGCAGTTGGGGCTCCGGCTCCAGCCAGCCGGCTGCCAGCCCAGCTGGGCAGCCACGTTAATCTGTTACTGCTTCAAATAAAGAAACGTTACTCTTCAGCTCCTGTGTCTGCCTGGTGTGTCCGTCTAGACCATTACAACAATATTTGTCTGTGAAACATGGCTCAATGCATCTCTCCCTGACTCCATTACCCCAGTAAGAGACTATCATATTTACCAATCAGATCGTGAAATTCGTAGAGGAGATGGTGTTGCTGTCTTCTATAAAAAGTCCTTACATCTAAAAAACATCCAAGTTACCCAGGAGCTTGCTCTTCCTGAGACCATCATCTGTGAACTACCCTTAAATATCATATTTTGATTCTTACTATGTTACAGAGCACCTGATTATGACATCAAACATGTAAACAAGCTAAATTCACTACTAACATGGGCAACATCCTGCCCACACGTTTTTATCTTTCTTGGTGACTTCAATCTACCTCATACTGACTGGACCCTAAATTAATATACAACTGAACCCATACACGCAACCTTCTACAATGCTGTTACAAATCTGGGATTGGAACAACTAGTAACCAACAATACTAGACTTAACAACTGCCTCAATCTCATCTTCTGCAATAGTTTGAATTTAATTTACAGAATACAAACTGAAGAACCCTTTTCCAGGAGTGACCACAATATGATTGACTTTTGTCTCAACATACGCCCACACAAAAATCACAATGATGTAATCCCCAATTATAACTTCAAAAAAGGCAACTATGATCTTATAGACAACGATGTCTCATCCCTTGATTGGCAATCTCTATTCACTGGATGCAATACTGCTGAAGACCGTTACAACATATTTTTACTTTAAGTCAAAAGACTCATCAAACTACATGTACCAACAACAACTCCCAAAACAAAAAATAACAGATGACCCATATCAATAAGGAAACTTCAATCCAAAAAGAGATCACTCTGGCGGAAAAACAAATCTGGTCAGGTTGACAATTTCAAAAGCCAATGCAAAAATTTATCCCACCAGATAAAGACTGAATGCACCAATTATCACATTAAACAAGAGCAAAAAACCATCTATGCACCAATTCCACCCGCGCTTTTTACAATTTTGTAAACAACAAACTAAAAGACTCAAGGTCCATCCCACCACTGAAAGGACCTAATGGTAAAGACTGCAACAACGACGCCATTAAAGCCAACATCTTTAACACATTCTTTGGCTCAGTATTTGTAAACAGCAATGGATCATGCCCAGTATTTCCTAGCCGAACCACAGAAAACTACAATGATCTAATACATATCAATTTTACAGAAGACAATGTTGAAAAAGCACTACGCAATCTAAAACCATCTCTATCTATTGGTCCGGACGGAATATGTGCCTACTTCTTAAAAAAGCTATCCACTGCCATAGCAGAACCTCTAAGTATAATCTTTGAAAAATCTTTCAGGACCAGCTCCTTGCCTAACCTATGGTCACAAGCCACGGTCATCCCGATCTTCAAAAAGAGAGACCCCAGCCTAGTTGAAAATTACAGACCAATCTCCTTATGCTGCATCACCTGTAAACTCATGGAATCAATTATTAACCAATCCATTATCCTCCACATAGAGACAAACAACCTACTCTCCAATAAACAATTTGGTTTCAGAAAAAAACTATCCTGTAATCTGCAACTCTTACACTGCAAAAAGATATGGACTACGCAACTCGATCAGGGCAAAACAATAGACGCAATCTACATAGACTTCTGTAAAGCCTTTGATTCAGTGGTACACGACAAACTACTCCTAAAACAAAAATCTCATGGTATCTCTGGACACCTGCATAACTGGATAGAAGCATTCCTGTCAAACAGACAACAAATGGTCAAAATTGGGAGTGTCCTATCAAATTCTGAACTTGTCAATAATGGTATCCCCCTAGGCAGTGTTCTAGGACCAACTCTCTTTCTACTCCACATAAATGACCTCTGTGATCATATTAAGAGCAACTGTGTTCTCTTTGCTGATGATGTAAAGTTATTCAACACCACAGACAATACTGCAACCCTTCAAAAAGATCTGGACTATGTATCAGAATGGTCAAACAAATGGCAACTTCAAATCTCAACAAATAAATGCTCTGTCTTACATATTGGCAAAAAAACTCAGAAAATAAAATACAAGCTGAATAGTCAAGACCTTGTTGATGATCCAAGCTCTGTAAAGGGCCTTGGAATACTCATCTCTAATGATCTAAGTGCTAGAGCCCATTGTAACTACATAGCCAAAAAGGCATTAAGAGTTGTTAACCTAATCCTACGTAGCTTTTTCTCTGGTAATATCACACTTCTAACTAGAGCATACAAAACATTTGCTAGAACAATACTCGAATACAGCTCATCAGTCTGGAACCCACATTACGTATCTGATATTAGCACAGTTGAGAAAGTCCAGAAATATTTCACAAGAAGAGTTCTCCACTCCTCTACTCGTTGTAGAATACCTTATGCCACCAGACTTGAAATTCTAGACCTAGAAAACCTTGAATTATGCCATCTTTGGTCTGATCTAAGTATGGTATATAAAATCATACATTGCAATGACTTACCTGTCAATGAATACTTCAGCTTCAACCATAATAACACAAGAGCAAACAATAGATACAAACTCAAGGTTAACTGCACCAAACTTGTTTGCAGGAAATACGACTTCAGCAACAGAGTGGTCAATGTCTGGAATACTCTACCTGACTCTGTGGTTTCTTCCCCAAACCCCAAAAACTTTAACCTTAGACTGTCTACTGTTGACCTCACCCCTTTCCTAAGAGGTCTGTAGGGGGCATGCATAAGTGCACCAACGTGCCTATCATCCCTGTCCTATTGTTTCTTTTATTTTTCTTATATGTACCCATTTCATGTATTCATAACGATGTATATACTTATACCTATTATCTCGTAAGCAATTGACAAATCAAATCAAATCAAATAAATAAATAAATAATTTTTCTTACATACTTCCTTATAGGTAGGACCCTGGGCAGATTTGCACTTCTGCATACCTCAGTATGGACAACTAACGGTTGTCAGAGCATGGAATGGCTGACAGCCTCCTTCTACATATAGCCCATTGCAGCTGTATTCTTGTTTTTCTATCTTTGATCCAAAATGGCTGATTTCCAACTGCAA